CAATGCAGAACGACTCCAAATAATAAGTGAACCGCACTTTAATTGAAGTTCAAAATTGACCAAAAATTATAATTTGGTCTAACAATTTGGATCCATAATACTTAGATCACAATAAACAATTTGGATCCGTAACAATGATGCACAGTCAAGAGCTTCCTATTCCACCACCATTAAGGGCTTATCGGGGTGATTTTTGGGCACTCTCCTTTATCCCCACCATTTTATAAGTATAAAAAAAAAAAAAAACNGGTGCACAGTCAAGAGCTTCCTATTCCACCATTAAGGGCTTATCGGGGTGGTTTTTGGACGCTCTCTTTTATCCCCACCATTTTATAAGTATAAAAAAAAAAAAAAACAATCTTGTTGCTGCACCATGACTATCCTTCCTCCTCCACCAATGTGTGTTAAAAGGGGGAAAAAGCCTTACGAAAAAATGAAAAACACATACTCGAATGATGAGGTCTGAGGATCTTATAACATGGGGGTGTCTATGTCAGTGACAACCTAGAATATAAAATAACACTCTTCACCCCTCATTGGGTAGATACAGTGGATACCATGTCTCACTCTAGATCCATTGATTATTCTACAAACCCAAGCACAAAATAATAGTAACAGTGGAAGGACCACATATCAGACGGTCTACACTATATTGAACATCCTCATCATATATAGTTTTTGGTCATTAAAAAATTATGGAGAATCTCTCTAGATTTACCAAAACAAAAAAGGGTGGGCAATTGACCATTCAAAAAAGGTCAACTTTAACGTTGAGATCAGTTTTAAAGAGAAGGGGGTTTAACCCAGCCTGGTTAGCTAGAAAGAAAAAAAGCCAAAGAGGGTGGGGACCAATTGTGGCATCATCACCTCCTATGCCATTACCCTCAGAGTTCATTGATGATGTTCATCTTTGTGGGACCATTATTCATTTTCTTTCATAAGAGATGGATCAAATCTTGTGTAGCGTATTAACAATACTAATGATTCCACTCCCCATTTTCGTAACTTGGGCCCCACGTTCCACAATCTTTAACTTTTTTTAAAATCTTAAAATTCATACAACAAAAATCCAAATCTCACTAAACCCACATCTGACGTTTTTTAGTACCTTGAAAACAGATGTTTTTGATAAAAATAGAAAAACAACTCATTAGGTTGAGTTTTAACGGTTAATACATAGAGATTTTAGGTTTGAATCTCGAAAGAATGTATTTTATTGAACGCAAGAGAATTACGGAATCCCAGAATTAACCACAAGACCAAATGATGTGTGATTAGGATAATTTCGGTTGTTTAANCTAAATCTCACTAAACCCACATCTGACGTTTTCTAGTACCTTGAAAACAGATGTTTTTGATAAAAATAGAAAAATAACTCATTAGGTTGAGTTTTAACGGTTAATACATAGAGATTTTAGGTTTGAATCTCGAAAGAATGTATTTTATTGAACGCAAGATAATTGCGGAATCCCAGAATTAACCACAAGACCAAATGATGTGTGATTAGGATAATTTCGGTTGTTTAAGGAAATTTGGATAGCATTAGAGATTCTGCAAGAAAGGTTTTTTTAAGCTGTGGACCCACTCATCCTCTTGCTTTCTTTAAAACTAAAAATGATCCTGCCAGCTATATCAATTGAATTTAGCAATATATAGATATGAGATGAAGAATGGACGGTCATGATCAATTAAAGATATCTGTAATCTACGATTAGTAGCACTTAATTGTAGCCTCTCTTAGAATCTTTAGATGGGAACATTCTCACGCCTGCTGACAGAACTGACCCTCGGATCAAGGACTTGACTAATATTTTTCTCCAAAAGCGACGATCTTAGATAGACCTGTCTGTGGGTCCTCCCCCTTTTGACCAAAATTCAAATCCTTCGTTCACTTGGTCCCTTCCTGTCTGTACAATTTGATAGACGTTTGATTCTCCTGTTAGGATTGGTTGAGTTGGATAAAATAATATAATTTAATACAATATAGATGGATAAAATACAAAATTAAATAGAATATTAAAATAATACATAATTTTATCTAGTATTTGATAATACAATATAAACCTTTGATAGTGGTTATTTAATATAATTAGTTGTTTGGTTAGAAAATTATTTTTTCATATTAATGTTGAATTAATAAAAATACTCTCAATCCGTGTTTGTTAAATTGATGACAACTTGATTTTATCTATTGGGGAGTTATAAAAGTAAATATCTAGAATAATATGTTTGAGTTTGATTATAATACTACATCTTTTGGTGGTATTAAAATATTTTCATAATACAGGTTTATTGTATAAAAAATATGCGATTTTTGTTATCAAAATATAAAAAAATATACGATTAGTATTCATTTTTGAAATTAATACTGTATCAAATTTGCTTACTAAACAAAGCATTAGACTCGATTAAATAAAAAAAATATAATCTAATATTTAATCCCCTCATAGTACGACTATAAAATGAGCCCTACGAGCAAGTTTGTTCCAGAGTCCAATTAAGTTGTAATTAAATATATTTTAAAACTAATAAGTTCTCAAATTGACATTTAACACCACATATTTGCTATAAATCAATACCATATAATAGATAATATTAAATGAGACATTATAATACTTTAGAATTGATTTTAAAATTGTTAGAATCGACCTTAAAATTTAAAAAAATTATGAATTGATTCATAAAAAATTGTAAATTGAATCATTAAAATTATAAAATGACTCTGAAAAATTATAATTTTTAGATCAATTTTAAAATTAATCTTATTTTTTTCCCTTATAATTAGACTCTAAAAATTTATCCATAATTATATACTTTAGTACCCAAGTCAAATCCTATAAAGGAGGACTAAATGGTAGATCAAATTGTCGAAAACGGTTTGATCGACATAATAGATTTTAGAAATAATATGAAAAATTAAGATAATTCGTGTCTGAAAACACGATGTACTGTGAATAGTTTTGAAATGAATATTAGTTGTCGTCGAATGAGATTATTTGAGACCGTCGAATTGACTTATTAAAGTATGTCCTATTTTTTATTATATATATCCTCAAGACTTCAACATAAAAAGATTAGACCCAACATTTTTAGGGCAAATTTCATCCTTTAACTTTAGATTACTTTTTTATGCACTTTCCTTTTTCCTCTTGTATTTTTTTAGAATTTTGGTAATTAAGCATTTTAAGTTTTGAATGTTAAGTAATTTTGGACTACTGAATTTTTTATTTTATGATGGGTTGTATGATTTTTTAAGTTGCTTTGGTTATTTTGCAATAAAATTTTTGAAGGATTATTTATTCTCCTTCTAGTTATTTTGGTAATCTCAAAATTTAAAAAATTTATTGATGAAATTTAGTGTGGTATTATGTGTGATAATTGACAAATGCTAAGTTGTGGTGCACTTATGTTTACCTATTCACACTCCTCATATTAGGCAATATTTATCAATAGTCCTTTGGTCTAATAGTATTCTTTGCCTTGTGAAGGAGTTAGCTTTTTGAGGTCAAGGATTCAAGACCCCTCCCCCTCCCCTTCTCAAAAAAAAAAAATTAGATAATATTTAAAAAACTAGTTATTGCTTGTGCCTAAAAATACAGAGTAATAAAAAATAATAATAAACATATTTATATTCACATCCAAAATCAAATCACAATTATAAAGAAGAGATAAAAGAATTTAAATATCAGTTTGTAGTGAATGTAAACAGTGGTGGGCGACAGTGGTAGTGGTAGAAGACAGTGATAGTTGTTGTGGATGACAATGACCGTGGTGATGATGATGGCGACAACGATGGTGATGGCAATGGCAGTGACAGGGGGTGGCGTTGGCGAGGGTGGTGGTGGCGACGGTGGTGGGGCGGTGCTAGGGACTGGGGGTGGCAACGGTGGTAGTGATGATAGTGGTGGTGCTGGTGGTGGTGACGGCGGCGGCAGAGATGGCGACAGCGGTGGTGGTAAAGGTAGTGGTGGAGCGGTTTCAAACACTATTTTTTAAAATATTTATGAGAAATAAATTTTAAAAGTACTTTTAAAAAATCATTCTAAACACACCCTTAGAACTCTATTTTTTTTTATTAAATTTAGAGTGGTAATTTTAGCAGTTAGATTAATTTTAAAATAAAATTTAAAGCGATTTCAACTGCGAAAATCAAAAGTCATTTTGTTTATCTTTTAATATTTGAATTGTAAGCTATTTTATTATACAAATAATTAAAAAAAATCTAACAACAATAGAGAAAGTAATTACAAAGATACATGAGAGAATACCTCGCCTTTGTCGAAACTTGACTCTAAACCTATTGGTTAAATTGACAAGTTTATAGCACCGTAGGGGAACGAGTTGAATTGGAAGTCAGATTGACTAACGTGGACACAGGTCAGCCAATCCTTTAATCTGCTTGGTCAAGACTTGAACCAGCTCCACTGTTGTTTAAAAGAGTTCGGTTTACCCAAAACAACTCATCTCATGGTAGAAGAAAGGACAAAAAATGAATTGTATTACCAGACCTTATCCAAAGAATGGAGGATCTATCTTGAGAATGTCACGCTGCACTCAACTCATTTACACCATCAGATATATATTTAAGTTTGACATGGTTTAATAGTTTTATTTTAATTCTAACTCTGAAATTATATCATCTCACGTATCATTAGGCCTCAAGGGTGCTCAGCTTATTGTCTCACAATAACCTTTTTTCGTATAATAGTATAATGTTACATTTGGGCAAAAAGTGTCAAAATTACATCGAAATTGTCCGGATCCGGATCCGGATCCGTATAAGTACCTATACCACTAAACTTCAATGCAATTCCCCACTTTTCTTATTCCTCCGCACGTTCCCTTCTTTTCCATTTATAATACACAAAAAAGGATCTTCTTTTACAATAGCTAATCTCCTGCATTGCACCAAGAAATTCTCATCATACTAAGCACACAATCTCTCTCTCCATACCGACAAAAATTTCTCCCTAAGCTCTGTTCTGAAACTTCTTCCTCCAATGGAGAACCACACATCACTGCTCTCCCTCCATCTTGCTAAAACACTGATTTTCATGTTTTTTGCTTCGGTTTTTGCAGCAGATCAAGGCGGGTTTTCGTCGATCAGAACTGATACTGAGGCACTTCTCAGGTTCAAGAAGATGATCCAGATGGACCCAAAAGGAGTCTTGTCAGAGTGGAAGCTCAATGGAGATACATGTTCATGGCATGGAGTTACTTGCAATCTTGGAAGAGTGACTGAACTTGATCTTGGCCTATCATATAATCTTGTTGGCACCGTCTCTTTCTCTCCTTTTGCTTCTTTAGACATGTTAACTGTTCTCAATCTGTCTGCAAATTCATTCACTGTAAATTCAACATCTTTGCTTCAACTGCCTTCTGGATTGCAACAATTAGAACTGTCATTTGCTGGAATTACAGGTCTTGTTCCTGAGAATTTCTTCACCAAGTGCCCCAATCTTGTTTATGTTGATATTTCTTTCAACAATCTGACCGGTTCTCTACCTGAGAATCTCTTGTTGTATTCTGAGAAACTGCAGTATCTTGACATCTCTTATAACAACTTAACAGGCTCGATTTCGGGTATGAAAATCGAGACCTGCAAGTCCTTGCAGCATCTTGATTTGTCTGGAAACCACATATTGGATTCCATTCCAGCCTCATTTTCGAATTGCACGAGTTTGAAAGAATTGAATTTAGCAATCAATTTACTCACCGGGGACATTCCTCGATCTTTCGGTGAACTAAACAACTTGCAAAGGTTGGATCTTTCTCAAAATCATCTCACTGGTTGGATCCCTTCCGAGTTGGGTAATGTCTGTGGTTCACTTTTAGAGCTTAGGCTCTCTAAGAACAACATTACAGGCACAATCCCAATCTCATTTCAATCGTGTTCTTGGCTACTAGTTCTTGATTTGGCCAATAACAATTTGACTGGTCCTTTTCCTGATTCAATTCTGCAAAATTTTGGATCGTTAGACAGCTTGTTATTGAGCAATAACAGGATCTCTGGAGCATTTCCTGCTTCTATTTCATTCTGTAAGAAACTGAAGATTGTGGACTTCAGCTCCAATATGCTTTCTGGGATCATCCCACCAGATTTATGTCCGGGGGCTGCTTCACTTGAAGAGCTGATACTCCCTGATAATTCCATTTTTGGGTCGATTCCAGCTGAATTATCTCAATGCTCGCAACTAAAGAAGATCGATTTCAGCATAAACTACCTCAATGGCTCAATTCCAGCAGAAATTGGCAGGCTCGAGAATCTTGAGCAGTTAATAGCCTGGTACAATGGCTTGGAGGGGAAAATACCCTCGGAGTTGGGGAACTGCGTCAAACTGAAAAATCTCATTCTCAACAATAACCATTTAAGTGGTGAAATCCCAAAAGAATTGTTCAATTGTGGTAATTTAGAATGGATATCCCTCACAAGCAATGGGCTCACTGGTCAGATCCCCCGGGAATTTGGGATTTTGTCGAGGCTGGCTGTTTTGCAACTCGCGAATAACAGCTTGAGCGGTGAGATCCCTAGGGAGCTTGGAAATTGTAGCAGTTTGGTTTGGCTTGACTTGAATAGCAATCGGCTAACTGGGGAGATCCCACCTCGGCTTGGTAGGCAGCTCGGATCAAAAGCATTGCTTGGAATTCTCTCAGGTAACACTTTGGTCTTTGTTCGAAATGTTGGGAATTCATGCAAAGGAGTTGGAGGCTTGCTTGAATTCGCTGGAATCCGTTCTGAAAGGTTGTCACAAGTCCCGTCATTGAGAAGTTGCGATTTCACTAGATTGTATTCTGGTCCAGTTCTAAGCATGTTCACTCGATATCAAACTCTGGAGTATCTTGATCTTTCTTACAATGAGCTTCGAGGCAAAATTCCCGATGAGTTTGGGGAAATGATAGCTTTACAAGTTCTTGTATTGTCCCATAACCAGCTATCAGGAGAAATTCCTTCCTCACTTGGCCAGCTTAAGCAATTAGGTGTATTTGATGCATCCCATAACAGACTGCAGGGTCACATCCCTGATTCATTCTCAAATCTTTCTTTCTTGGTGCAAATTGATCTCTCCAACAATGAATTAACCGGGCAAATTCCATCAAGGGGGCAACTTAGCACACTTCCAGTAACCCAGTATGCAAACAATCCGGGACTTTGTGGGGTTCCATTGCCCGAATGCCAGGCTATAAGCAACCAACCGGCCACAAATCAAAATGGGGATGGTGGAAAAAGAGTCCACAGATCCACAGCTACATCATGGGCTAATAGTATTGTCTTGGGTATTCTCATTTCCATTGCTTCTGTGTGCATTTTGATTGTTTGGGCCATTGCAATGCGTGCAAGGCGAAAGGAAGCAGAGGAAGTCAAGATGCTAAATAGTTTGCAAGGATCCAATGGGGCCACAACATGGAAGATTGACAAGGAAAAAGAGCCTCTGAGCATTAATGTTGCCACTTTTCAAAGACAATTGAGGAAGCTGAAATTCTCCCAACTGATTGAGGCCACCAATGGCTTCTCTGCAGATGCACTTATTGGGAGTGGCGGGTTCGGAGATGTTTTCAAGGCAACATTGAAAGATGGATCAAGTGTTGCAATCAAGAAGCTGATAAGACTCAGCTGCCAAGGCGATCGTGAATTCATGGCAGAGATGGAAACTTTGGGGAAGATTAAGCACAGAAATCTTGTCCCTCTGTTGGGCTATTGCAAAATTGGGGAGGAGAGGCTCTTGGTGTATGAATTTATGGAGTTTGGAAGCCTTGAAGAAATGCTTCATGGAAAGCCAAAGACCCGCGATAGGCGAGTTCTAACATGGGAGGAAAGGAAGAAAATTGCAAGAGGTGCAGCCAAAGGACTTTGTTTCCTTCACCACAATTGTATCCCACACATCATACACCGAGACATGAAGTCTAGCAATGTGTTACTGGACCATGAAATGGAAGCTAGAGTCTCCGATTTTGGAATGGCAAGGCTGATAAGTGCACTTGACACACATCTGAGTGTGAGCACACTAGCCGGGACACCAGGGTACGTCCCACCCGAGTACTACCAGAGCTTCCGTTGCACCGCCAAAGGTGATGTCTATTCGTTTGGGGTGGTTATGTTGGAACTCCTGACTGGAAAACGCCCAACCGACAAGGAGGATTTCGGAGACACCAACTTGGTGGGGTGGGTGAAAATGAAGGTGAGGGAAGGGAAAGGAATGGAAGTAATAGACCCAGAATTGCTTTCAGTGACTAAAGGAACTGATGAAGCTGAAGCAGAGGAAGTGAAAGAAATGGTGAGGTATTTGGAGATAACACTGCAGTGTGTGGAAGATTTTCCTTCCAAAAGGCCTAATATGTTACAGGTGATTGCATTGCTCAGAGAGCTTATGCCAGCAAGTGGAAATGGAGGCAACGGTGCATGAAAAATGGTAATGTTTTTCAATTATGATTGATGCTGTAAAAGACAAGGTTTGTAAGATTTCTTTGTTCAGGTATTTGAGAATTTCTTGTATTTACTTCACACCATCTGCTCTTCTTTTTTATTGCTCTTGAAACAAATACATGTGGCACGTAGGAACACCAAAAATTACATGTATATTTGCCGATCACATTTACCTAATAGCTGGTCATGTTAACCCGCAAGGATTGGTTCATCGACCGAGCAAAGGACAAGGTGTAAGCTAGTACATCTTCAGTTTAAGTTTCTTTAAGCGCATAAAACCCGGGTTTAATCTATGCTGTGATTTAAGCATTCAAATTTGTGTTGTAGACATAAATCGAAAGGCACGTGGATGATTTATCTTTGAACCGAAAAAAATCGAATTATGCTGTGAAAGGAGCAGATGAAATTGTTCATGAGACAAAAATTAGCATGGACATTGGGTCTGTTATCTAAGGCTTGTATTTGGTTAATCGGCTGAGACTAGCGAGTAAGCAGTCGAATGTGTTGGTCGGAGTTCTGTGGCAGCCTTCACCCATAACAGTTTTGTGCACTATTCTTACCCTGCCACCGACGGTTCATTCTAAATGCAATCACAGTGTTTGTTATTAAACTCGTTAACAGTTCCCTAATACTGTTTGTGAGGTGAATGTCGCACCCCCACCCGGATCACATCGGGTGAGTAGCGGATCGGCCACCAAGACATTAACTAACTAACTATGTGCATAATAAATACAAAATACAGCGGAAGACAAAAATAAAGTGATCCATTTCACCGATCTAATGAATACCAGAGAAATAAACTAAACATCACCAACATCATTATTAAACTCATGTAAAACAATAACTAAACCATAAGGTTCACTACTCTAAAGTTTAAACATGAGCAACATTAATCCCAAAAAAATAAATATTTGTCCCAAAACTATGTAATACATTTATTCCTGTAGACCTACAATAAAATAAATCTTCAATCTTTCTAATCCTTTGTCTATCCGGGAATTTACTCCTCTCCTTGATCCTCACCTGAAAAATGTTAAATGTTTAGGTGAGCACAAAGGCTCGTGAATAGCAACCACCTCTAATGAGGTGTGAAAATAAATCCCACATTTTATATATAAAAATAAACTTTGTTACTTACATAAGTACAACAAATTGTACCTCAATCCCTTCTACATAATCATGTAAACAAAATAATCTCATGATCATAAAATAACTTTATAAAAGAAAAGACATTTATAACTCAAACATCCACTCATTTTCACAAATAACTTTATAAACATTTATAGCTCAAAACACTCACACACACACACACACTCAGTTTCAAATACATTTGTCAAATTATGTTTGTTACCACTAGCCTAGTAACTGGTCCCGNACATTCAATTTCAAATACATTTGTCAAATTATGTTTGTTACCACTAGCCTAGTAACTGGTCCCGTCTCTTATCATCACTAGCCTGATGACTGACCTCATCTCTTGTTATCACTAGCTTGATAACTGGCTCCTATGTACACATCCCTATACCAACCATGCCGGTATACAATCTCGTTACCATTTAGACCTGGTAACCTAGTTCCCTTTTCATAAAACATAATTTCAACGCACACACTAAAACTGTTGTTTTAGTTCCAACGCACACAAAATTTCTTTTTCGTCATCAAAACACATTTGAGCAATGATATAAAATCATCCCATAAGTTTTTCCAAACTTCACAAGTATAAAAATTCACAATTGCAAAACATTTAATTACAATCCGAAACATCAACATATATCATATATATATATATATAAATTCACACACACGCACCCACAGTTTAATATAGAAAATTCTCCCAATAGAAATAGTAAACTACTCACCTTGATTTCTAAAATCCAATTCAAAACACTCTTTACTAACCTCAATGCAATCACCGCCTAATCTAAAATACCATATAACAATCAATCATTTTTCCTACTCTCGTCATTTCGCGATTCTATACTTAATTTTTATACTTCCTACCCATTGATANCATTGATTTCTAAAATCCAATTCAAAACACTCTTTACTAACCTCAATGCAATCACCGCCTAATCTAAAATAACATATAACAATCAATCATTTTTCATACTCTCGTCATTTCGCGATTCTATACTTAATTTTTATACTTCCTACCCATTGATATATACTTAATATATCTTTTACATATAAATATCCTTTCTAATATGAGGTAATAGGGTATGGAAGTATTTTGGGCTGTTTGAAAAATTTTCTAAGTTTTAGGGTCAAATCATAATTTTTGAAACTTTTGAGATCAAAGTGTAATTTTCATAAAAACGAATTTTCTGTTTTCGGGCCTGCCATAAATTTTTCAGAATAGTATTTAAGGTTCTAGAGACCCATTTTCCAAGAATACAACCTTAATTTGATTTNTGTAGGGTCAAATCATAATTTTTGAAACTTTTGAGATCAAAGTGTAATTTTCATAAAAACGAATTTTCTGTTTTTTTCAGAATAGTATTTAAGGTTCTAGAGACCCATTTTCCAAGAATACAACCTTAATTTGATTTATTAGAGTAATTATTAATATTTAAACACTTAATCAAAACTTTTAAGGGTCGTTTCAAAATTTCAAAACAAATTTCAAGACTCGGGGCTATTTTGACATAACCATATTTGTTTCAAACATATTGGGTCAGTTATGTAAATTATCAAGTTCTATGGTAGTCAAAAATTGAGTTTATAAAAGTATAGGTATCAAAATAAAACTACTTAAAACTAAGGGGGAGGTTTCCATAATTTCCAAAACTTTATCNTCTGTAAATTATCAAGTTCCATGGTAGTCAAAAATTGACTTTATAAAAGTATATGTATCAAAATAAAATTACTTAAAACTAAGGGGGAGATTTCCATAATTTCCAAAACTTTATCTTCTTCACCTTATGTTGTATCCAGCCGCTTGNTATGTAAATTATCAAGTTCTATGGTAGTCAAAAATTGAGTTTATAAAAGTATAGGTATCAAAATAAAACTACTTAAAACTAAGGGGGAGGTTTCCATAATTTCCAAAACTTTATCTTCTTCACCTTATGTTGTATCCAGCCGCTTGCTTGTCTGTAACTTTTCTTTCTTCCCCATTTTTCAATATCTTCTTAACACAAATACCATCCTATTATATTTGAATTCATATATTTTAATCCTATAAATCTACCCCTATGAATTACTTGCAATATTATATCAAACTATAACCTTGTGTATGTGTACATATAATGATTAAATACAAAATTAAATTTAGGTATGAAGACTAACCTTGATGATCAATCTTCTAATTTTCTTCTTTTCNTACATATAATGATTAAATACAAAATTAAATTTAGGTATGAAGACTAACCTTGATGATCAATCTTCTAATTTTCTTCTTTTCTCTCTAAATCCCCTTCTTTCTTTCTCTTCTTTTTTCTTTTACTCAAAATCCTAGTCTCTCATCTCCTTTCTCTTATTCTAACGTATGTGTAGATATTGAAAATATATATATATATATATATATATATATATATATGTATATGTCAGTACACTTCTTGGGCAACAAGAGAACTCTTTTTAATCACACTTTTATCCCCCTTATTATTATTATTATTACTATTCTTACTCTATAGTTACCCTTGGTACCCAATACACTAAATAAATAAATGCTTATATATANACGTCCCTTGAATTGTGGCTTTTATTTTAAATTGTCCTATAAACTTTCAACTGTCCGAAATTATGTAATTTGGTTAGGGTTATTCTTACCTCACAAATACTCATTCCCACGCCATTAAATTTTATTATCAAACTACTAAATCNGTCCGAAATTATGTAATTTGGTTAGGGTTATTCTTACCTCACAAATACTCATTCCCACGCCATTAAATTTTATTATCAAACTACTAAATCCACCCCTTTTATACCCACTCCATTTCAATTAAGTTCATCACATACTATACACATCACTTTAATAACAAATTCACTTTCTATCTTCTCATAACTAGTGTTTCATTCACTATCTCCTCTCATACTCCCCATACAACATAAGTTTTTCAATATTGATTGATAAATAAGATGAGTACATCACTTTTTGTATCTGTATATTATTCATACCTATTCTACCTTCTATCAAAACAACCTCTATTAGATTGACATGAGGAGAAGCAAGTTATGTTGCTATAGTGTTGGCAGCAATATTAACTTCTTTTTGAATTGACACAAATTGAATAAAAGAAATTTATTAAGTATACCAATGAGAATAATTTATATGNACGTCCCTTGAATTGTGGCTTTTATTTTAAATTGTCCTATAAACTTTCAACTGTCCAAAATTATGTAATTTGGTTAGGGCTATTCTTACCTCACAAATACTCATTCCCACGCCATTAAATTTTATTATCAAACTACTAAATTNTTTCAACTGTCCAAAATTATGTAATTTGGTTAGGGCTATTCTTACCTCACAAATACTCATTCCCACGCCATTAAATTTTATTATCAAACTACTAAATTCACCCCTTTTATACCCACTCCATTTCAATTAAGTTCATCACATACTATACACATCACTTTAATAACAAATTCACTTTCTATCTTCTCATAACTAGTGTTTCATTCACTATCTCCTCTCATACTCCCCATACAACATAAGTTTTTCAATATTGATTGATAAATAAGATGAGTATATCACTTTTTGTATCTGTATATTATTCATACCTATTCTACCTTCTATCAAAACAACCTCTATTAGATTAACATGAGGAGAAGCAAGTTATGTTGTTATAGTGTTGGCAGCAATATTAACTTCTTTTTGAATTAACACAAATTGAATAAAAGAAATTTATTAAGTATACCAATGAGAATAATTTATATGTACAATTATAAATAATCAACACAAAAATTTACAATACTTCGTTTTTTACTTCTTGTTGCAAATGTGTATGAATACATATACATACACACACATATAANATA